AGCCAAGAGATATATCATTAAAAATGTTTTAGAACTCATAAAACACCACACTAAAACATATTAAGAATTCCTCATTCATGCAACAGTACAGTCTGTATCCCAGGGAGTGGCTGTAATGGCTTACTGCTGTTATGAGTCATCTGAGGGAAACCAGAGAAAGAGACAGGGGGAAGAGATGAGTTTGCGGTAGTGTTATCAGAGGATGACAGAAGAAATGGGACAATAAAGTGTCAGCATAAACTGTAGAATGCATGACAGTGTTTGGAGCTCTTGTGTCTGCTCTACAGATAACAGCTCAAATCCCAATAGCATTTCTTCCCTCTGTTTCTTAGGCAAGGATGCACATACATGGGCTTAAGGTAAAGGTAAACTAAAGGTCACATCGACATAAAAAATTAACTCAAATGTACTAATGTGTCGCTTAAGAATTTTCAGCGCTATTGTGGAAAAAAAGGAGAGGAAAAAAGTAATTTTTAAAATTAAGTTTAAAAAAATCAACTAGGTTTCTGGGTTAGACTATTAGGAACAAGTTATCACACTCCTGTGATTGTGACAGTATTACAGATAGGTAGTGGGTGGCTCAAGAGAGAGGATGGCAGATAGGAGGGAGACAGAAATATTTAGTGTCAGCTGCATTTCAGCAGCTCTCATCAGATGTTTATTATACGTGCAACGTTTTCCTTTCTGTCACACTCAAAGAACCTGCTTGGTGGTTGATATAAATATCACAGCTGGGTCAGAATGACCTGACAGGCTAATGCTAAAACTACTGCTAAGTTAGAAAGGGACCAGGAAATGTTCTTCATGAACCAGGGATAGTCACTCTCAAAGAACTGTTGTTGTGATTTGGCGCTAATAAAAAATTGAATTGAATGAATTGAATTGAATTGAGTGACAATAGCTGTACATTTCCATAAACACTAGTTAATATACTGTCTAGTATTTAAGCATATTTCAGGTAACAGGGAAACAGGCCTGAATTACTGAAACGCAGAGATTAGCCGAATGTATACTTGCTACTGAAGTGAGGTCAGATTACTGAAAGGAGCGATATGGAATAGTTTGGTTCAGTAGCGCAAATAACACTGCTACATAGTGTGAAATTAAATTTGTGAGAGGTGTCATTATACCTTTTCCTCTCACATTTAACTTCATTTTGATGTTAATTGTGAATTCACATACATGATCAAGTATTATTGTGTATCAGTGGACAAAATTATGGTTTATATAGACTACTTCATAGACATAGCACAAAGACTGGAGTGGAAACATTATTTTGAAACATTTTCTGAGTTTCAATACTTCAGAGAAACACACACACACACACACTTTTCCACTGTGCAGAGGAAGAGGACATAATACTGCCACTCTTGGTATGAAGGATTATCTCGACAATAAAAATGATAATCTGCAGGATGCGCAACACAAATGCATTGAAGTCTATAGACAGACATTGTGTCTGTGTTGCAACAATTAATCTGCTGATTCGTTCGTCAGTTAATCAAATAATCATTTTGTGCATTATATACCAGAAAATAAGGGAAATGTCCATTACAGTGTCCTAAGTTCATGGTAATGTCTTCAGACTTTGATTTGACCAACAGTACAAAAGCCAGATTGCTGTCACCAACAGACAAGACAATGAAAGTGGAACCAGGGAAAGTTTGGCATGTTTTAGCTTAATAAATTACTGAAAAATATTATTCAACTATTATTTTATTATTTATTAAATTAAACAATCTTTAAAATATTTATATATATATATATATGCAGATATGTAATTTTTCCTTGAAACATTCTTTTCCATTATACATTATATTCATCATAATTTTCAGCCTGAGTGACCTTGAACATGTAGGTTTTTTGTCTTGCCTGGTGTTGCGGTTTTGTGTTGTCATTGTATGTTGGGAGACCACAATGAAAATAAGCAATAAAGCATTATTAGGATTTAATTATTTATTAGTGTCACTGTTGCTGCATAGTTATATATCTTTAACAATTAAATAAATTCACTTGCTGTATGTTGTAGTCAGCTGATGGTGGGAGCTGAACCACCTGCTGGAAGCTTCAGCTGAACCGTAAAACCACACACAGTGACACCTTGTTCTGTTTGAACACTTAGTGACACATGTAATTTACAGCTGTGCACAGCACCGAACAACTGAGGCTGTGTTCATTGTGCTTCAGTGGTCATGGAGGCCCCCCCCTGCTGTCCTCGGGCGGTGCTACACAGAGCCAACAGACTGTCAAGCCATCAACTGGATGCCCAATCTCATTTCACATGCAAAGAGAAGGGGTCACAGTCTGTTTAAAAGTGAATGTCCTCCACTTGCCCATAAGTAGGCCTGTGGTGAGAGTAATTAGCTGATTGTTTAATGAACACACTCAAACACAACGACCTTCCAGTGAAGTGTGGACAACAACTGTGCACTGTAACATGTCCGAGCTGAGCAGCTCTGTGGAATCAGAATGCAGATGCACTTATCTACTTTACCAGGAGGAATGTGGCCGTGCCAATAGATAACATGCCTGATGCAGTTCACTGGCTCGAGATCATTTTGTCAACATGGCCCTCGAGCAGTCTTGAGGGTTACAGCTGAAATATTACTCTTCTTCCACACAAACTCTTGACCACTGACTAGTTGTGTCAGGAGTACTGGGGTTTATTAATTTTCTGCTTTTCTACCAACCCTAGTTGTCACATTTGTCACTTTATGTGGAATTTGTTGAGCTGCATTAACTCTTCATGTGACTGTATGTAATCCAATGTTTTTCAATGTCAGTGTTCCTTTTTTATGACAGTGTTCCTTAACGGCCAATTCTTATATTTTTAAACAAATTTATTTCTACACTGCATGCACAATTAGGCAGTGGATGGTGATGGCGCAATGGATAAGATGCACACATTTGGTGTGAGAGACCTGGGTTCAATCCCCCACTGTGACCTATCTACCAATGTGTCCCTGAGCAAGACACTTAACCCCTAGTTGCTCCAGAAGCGTGTGACCTCTGACATGTATAGCAATTGTAAGTTGCTTTGGATAAATGTAAGTTGTATTCTTGGGGACTAATATTATTGTTATTCAAACACAATGCTTTCAGTCAAGCCAAAATATAATTGAATCCAAACCTGACTTTTTAACTAAGAAAAAGTGAGTTTGGTCTTGCTGAGAAGAATATGTAAGTGTGCAGAATTATAGGGCAACTAAATTGCCAAAATCATTTCTATCAAATTACTTACTTTTTACTTTACTTTAAGTGAAATAACACAAAATGACAAAATATTTAGTGACCAATATAGCCACCCCTCTTTCCAATAACTGCCATGATTCCCCCATCCATGGAGTCTGTCAGTTTCTTGATCTGTTTACTATGATCTTTCGCTGAAGATAGAAACACAGCCTCCCAAATGCTGTTCGAAGAGGTGTATGTCTTCCCTGACTGTAAATCTCACATTTGAAAACAACCCAAAAGTTCTCAACAGGATTCAAGTCAGGTGAGGAAAGGGACCAGGTCATTGTTTGGGCATCTTTGAGGCCCTTGCTGGCTAGCCAAGGAGTGTAGTACTTTGAGGCATATGATGGACCACTGTCCTGCATACTAATCATGGGTTTCTTGAATGCTGAGGGCTTCTTCCTGTACCACTGTTTCTTTGCACAATTTTGACGCTTCAACTTGTGAATCAGTCGTGCTTCAGCCTTCCTTACCATGGCCATGTCTCTGAGCACTTGGCACCTTGTACTTCTGGACACACCAGGTAGGTTGCAGTTCTGGAATATGGTGGCATAATGGGTTCCTGGTAGCTTCACATTACAGTTTTTTTCAATTGCTAAGATGCAATGGGCAAAACTAAAGCCACTTTTTCAAAACTCTTCACACAGTCTGCATTACCAGCATGCATCTTGGCCAAAAAATAAACTCGTTCAACCAAAACCCTGGCAACAATTCTCACTCAGAAAGCACACAGTCTCACTCATAACACACTGACCTACAAAACACTAACAACAAGAAGAAGCATTACATAAATTTGATGAACTTTTATCTTCAAAATGTGACTGATTTTTTCATATAAATCAGTATTTCATTATAGAATACAGCTGTTTTCAGTCACTTTGGTACATTTCTCAGATCAGAATTGAAATTCTACTTGTTCAACCTCCACATCATCTAGTCACTTGTGCATATCTTGCTGCTCCTTCCCAAGTGGGATGGATGCCGTCTCTCTGAATCAGACCAGGTCTTCCCCAGAAAGTCTGCCAATGATCTACAAAGCCCGCATCGTTTGCTGGACACCACCTCAACAACCAGCAGCGGAATTAGCAGCTGGGTCAACAACCGCGCCTACTGCGTACTCCAGGCATGGCTGAGCTTCTTTGGGAGGTGGGTCGTCTCAAGGAAGCCCTGCGATCGGCCCTGATTTGCCCCGGTGCTCTTCATGCTGGGCTTAGCATGCGGCCCGCTAGTCCCCTGCCTGTCCCTCTACCAGCGGGCACCACTAGCCTCCAGTCAGTCCCTCTTAATCCCCAGCCGGTTAGGCCCCAGTCTGACCCTGATCCCCAACCTGCTAGCGCCGCTAGCCTCCAGCCTATCCCTCCTAGTCCCCAACCTGCTAGCCCCCAGTTTGATCCAGGTCCCCAGCTCACTAGCGCCGCTAGCCCCCAGCCTGTTCCTCGGCCCGCTAGCGGACCGGCTTCAGCGGACCCCTGTTCCTCGTGTTCTGTTGGCGGACAGACCGGCTTCAATCCCGCCGGTGGTCCGGCCGACCCCTGTTCCTCGCACCAAGGCCCTCAGCCCAGCAGCCTCATCCCTGACTCCCCCCGCTGCTGTCGCGCTGCCAGCCCCTAGCCCGGCTCCCCGGCCTCTGGAGAGGTCGCCATGCCCGGCTCCCTGCCCGGCTCCCCGGCCTCCACGCCCGGCTCCCCGGCCTCTGGAGAGGTTGCCACGCCCGGCTCCCTGCCCGGCTCCCCGGCCTCTGGAGAGGTCGTCTCGCCCCCTAGCCCGTCCCTCGGGCCGCCCGCCCGAACTTTCTGGCTTGTCTCACCTTGCTCCCCAGCCTCTGGAGAGGTCGCCACGCCCGGCTCACCGGCCAGCCACGCCCGGCTCCCCGGCCTCTGGAGAGGTCGCCACGCCCGGCTCCCTGCCCGGCTCCCCGGCCTCTGGAGAGGCTCCTCCTGGCTCCCCGGCCTCTGG